TACTTCTGTAGGGACAGTTTGGGTGTATGCATTTGTATAGATTAGGGTAGAAACATGAATAGTTGGCAATATTTTTGAAAAACCAGCAGAGTAAGACAAAATACTAAAAGCAACCTATAGGACCATGAATTAAATTGATGATTAATAATAGGATTACAAAATAAACATATATTAGAGACTTCGGCATAAATTGTGATTAATATGTCAAAGTATTAATATAGTTTACATATTTACATTATGCTATGAAAACACATAATGTAAAAAGATGTGTTTGTCCATACATTTTACATTCTGTTTTGAAACATAGGGTTCAGACTAAACAAAGGGACATTACAGGCCTTTCAACAGACAAAGCTTTTTCATGCTCCCATAAAAAGGATGTTAAATAAGGAACACCAGCAGTGACTTACATAGCTTCTGGGTATTTCTTTGTTCTTATGATCTTATTTTGTTTTCTGTTGTTCTAGGGTCACCAAACTTTGATCACTGAAGAGCAACGAGGGACTTTTCTCTAATCTTCAGGACAAAACTGTGGGGATTCATTTCCCCTTAAATAAATATGTAAATAGAGTAATGCATGCTATAAATGATATATTAATGACTCTATGAATAAATAAAGTTTAGTAAAAGCACAAAAACAGTGCACATCTTAAGCATAAAAAACAAATGTGTCTAAAACGAAATTTTTGCGCTTAGTTGAGCGCTTTTAATTTAATCTTCATAGACACATAATAAAACGTCATTAGTAAACTTATCATTTATGTATAATATATATTTACATAGTTTTTTGCTAATTTTTGCATGTTAGTGCTATTTCTATCTGTCTTACTCATACATATTATGTTTGTTTCAGCCTTGTATGTAGTAAAATTATTTTCTAAAGTAGAAACATCAGCACTGTTTGAGGTGGTTTAAGTAATTACATTATATCGACTGTAAATCAGCATAAAAATTCCCCATGATTAAAAGGGAATCAGTCAGTGGCGTACATACCAGGGTCGCAGGGGTCGCGGCTGCGACCAGGCCCGGCCCACCAGGGGGCCCGGCCGCCCCTGCGACCCGGTATGTAGCCACAGGACCAGCCTCTTCTCCTGGGGGGCCCAGGAGCCGACCACCCCAGGGCCCCCCGAGGCTGGCCCTGCTGACCCCGGCGGGCGGGCGGGCTGGCTGTGTTGCCGGCGCGCGAGGGAGCACTCTCCCCTGAGTGCTTCCTCTTCCGCTCCCTCGCGCACCGCACTGATACCAGAGCCGGAAGATGACGTCATCTTCCGGTGCCGGCATCCCTACGCGGCGCGCGAGGGAGCGGAAGAGGAAGCACTCAGGGGAGAGTGCTCCCTCGGGCGCCGGCAACACAGACAGACAGCCAGCCCGCACGCCCAGGAGCCCAGCAGCAGCACCACTGGACCCCAGGGAATCCCCCCAGCACTCCAAAAGGTAAGGAGGCAGGGGGGATTAAATTTAAAAAAAAAAACATGTGTTAGTGTGTGTGTGTTAGTGTGTGTGTGTTAGTGTGTGTTAGTGTGTGTGTTAGAGTGTGTGTGTGTGTGTTAGTGTGTGGGTGTGTGTTAGTGTGGGTGTTATTGGGTGTGTCTGTTACTGAGTGTCTGTTAGTGAGTGTGTGTTTGTCAGTGAAAGTGTATGTTTTGTAAGTGAGTGTGTATGTATGTCTGTCGCTGAGTGTGTCTCTGTCAGTAAATGTGTGTGTCTGTTAGCTAGTGTGTATGCGTCTGTTCGTAAGAGTGTGTGTCTTCAGCACTTACCTCTCTCCAGCGCCGGACTTCCTTGGCGCTGGGGATCCGTCTGCCTCTCAGCTCCGAATGCACATGCGCGGCAAGAGGCGTGCACGCGCGCATTTAACCCGCCCATAGGAAAGCATTACTTAATGCTTTCCTATAGACATTCAGTGTCTTCTCACTGTGATTTTCACAGTGAGAATCGCGGAATCTCCTCTAGCGGCTGTCAATGAGACAGCCACCAGAGGCTGGATTAACCCTCAGTGAAACATAGCCGTTTCTCTGAAACAGCTATGTTTTCAGCTGCAGGGTTAAAACTAGAGGGACCTGGCACCCAGACCACTTCATTGAGCTGATGTGATCTGGGTGTCTGTAGTGGTCCTTTAGGTGTGTGTGCAGCATACCGCGGTCGCGGGGTCGCAGCCCTGCGACCAGGTGCCCGCCGCCATGTGATGCGGTCCCGACCCGCGCCGACTAAGAGCGCAGGGGGGGGGGGGGCCACGGATCAATTTTTGCACCGGGGCCCCATGGGTCATGTGTACGTCACTGGAATCGGTCAACCAAAGATCATATGGATGACTAGCACATCTTACGTTAAGATTACCTTTAGTCTATGTTATAAATCGTGACATTTATCAAAAGTTTATTAAAAAAATATTACTTACCTGAGGAATGCACATACACCACCAAATGATGTGTGTGTACACGCTAGTAACTGTCACTTTAGGCTTGAAAGCTGTACATGTAGACTCTCTTTTAGCTTCTATAGATGTACAGGGTTATTCACTAAAGAGAGAATTCAAAGTGAATTCAAATTTAAGACCAAAATAACATATTGGAAGTCGGCTATACTTTCAGTTTGGCTACCGCGGCTTTATATTTGAAATTCTCTTTAAATTTTCACTTTAGTAAATAACACATATAACTAGAGTTGAGCGGACACCTGGATGTTCGGGTTCGCCGAGTTCTGCCGAACTTCGTCGGGCTCGAACTTGACCCGAACTTGACCCTGAACCCGAACCCCATTGAAGTCAATGGGGACCCGAACTTTTAGGCACTAAAATGCCTCTAAAAAAAGTCCTGGAAAGGGCTAGAGGGCTGCAAAAGGAAGTAAAATGGGGGTAAGAGTAGGACAAGTGCCCTGCAAACAAATGTGGATAGGAAAATCACTTAAAATAACATAAAATACATAAAAATAAAAAAATATAGCTGAGCCATAAAATAGCACTAGATGGAATCTTTGATTTTAGCTTTGGAAGAACAGAAATCAAAATCTAAAGCATGGCTGTCAGGAGGATTATCCATTTGCAGAATTATCCATTTGAGAGAGGGTTGGAGGGTATTCTCTTTCATTGTTCAAACTGAGCTCAACTCCTGATGCATGGAGAAAAGGCCTTCACAAGCCTCTGCTATTGTGTACATAGTTTATACTGAGTGACCCATAGGTTGAGGAGGCGGTGTAGGTGGAAGCAGCGCTGGAGGAGGAGGAGGTAGCCAACACTGTTTATATATATATATATATATATATATATGTATTTTTTTTAATTGGGGTAGCCCCCAAAATACTGGGACATATAAAAAAAGAAACATTTGCGGCCTGCAGTGCATTTCTTGCAGTCCTGATGCATGGAGAAATGCTCCACTCCTGATGCATGGAGAAAAGGCCTTGACAAGCCTCTGCTATTGTGTACGTAATTTATTCTAAGTGACCCATACGTTGAGGAGGCGGTGACCGTGGCGGTGTAGGTGGAAGCAGCGGTGAAGGAGGAGGATGAGGTAGCCAACACTGTTTTTTATATATATATATTTTTAAATTGGTGTAGCCCCCCAAATATTGGGACATATAAAAAAAAGAAACATTTGCAGCCTGCGGTGCATTTCTTGCAGTCCAATAATGCCATCAGGTTTTTAAAACTGTCCGTCTCCACCAGATGGAATGACAGAATTTCAGAGGCCAGGAATTTTGAAATGCTGGCATTCAGGGCCAGGGATCACGGGTGGGTAAGGGAGTACTTCCTATTTCTCTCCAGTGTTTGAGAAATGGACAGCTGAACACTTCCATGGGACAGTGTGGTGATGCTTGGGGACGGTGGCGGACGTGGTGGCGTTGCTGCCACATCCTCTGTTTGCGGGGTGGTAGGTGCCACTGTCACTCCAGAGGTGGAGGAAGAGGCCAAGACAGCAGCAGAAGAGGAAGCAGGAGGAGCCTGAGACGTTTCTTGTTTTTTGAGGTGCTTACTCCACTGCAGCTCGTGCTTTGCATGTAGATGCCTGGTCATGCAGGTTGTGCTCAGGTTTAGAACGTCTATGCCTCGCTTCAGGCTCTGATTATTCAGCATGCAAACCACTCGTGTCTTGTCGTCAGCACATTGTCTGAAGAACTGCCACGCCAGGGAACTCCTTGGAACTGGCTTTGGTGTGCTCGGTCCCTGGGTGCGGCGGGCAGTAGCAGGCGTACTGTCTAGTGGACGGTCGCTCCACTTTTGCACCCTGCTCTAGAAGGAGGAGGTGGATGTGGAGTAGGAGGTTGAGGAGGCGGTGACCGTGGCGGTGTAGGTGGAAGCGGCGGTGGAGGAGGTAGCCAACACTGTTTTTTTTTTTTTTATTGGGGTAGCCCCCAAAATATTGGGACATATAAAAAAAGAAAACAAAGAATAAGTGCACTTGAGAATAACAATGGCTGGGTGAGGCCGGTATAAATGTCTATTCTGCTATTCTGCACAAGGTACAGACAAGTCTGGTGGGATCCATACCTGGTTCATTTTAATAAACGTGAGCTTGTCCACGTTGGCTGTGTACAGGTGGCTGCGCTTGTCTGTGATAACGCCCCCTGCTATGCTAAACACAAGTTCAGACAATACACTGGCTGCAGGGCAGGCCAGCACCTCCAAGGCATAAAGTGCTAGCTCAGGCCATGTGCCCAATTTGGAGACCCAGAGGTTGAATGGGGCAGACCCATCAGTCAGTACGTGTAGGCGTGTGCACACGTACTGTTCCACCATGTTGCTGAAATGCTGCCTCCTGCTAAGACGTTCCATGTCAGCTGTGGTGCTGGTTGTTGTGGCGTGCTAACAAATCTTTTCCACATTTCGGCCATGCCTTGTGAGGTGCTGGCGGTGCCCCAGCTGCGTTGGCGACCTCTTCCTCCTCCTCTGCCTTCACCTTGTGCTTCCACTGAGCCCCGGTGTCAGTTGGGAATGCCCTAAGCAGTCCGTCTACCAGCGTGCGCTTGTAGTCGTGCATCTTCCGATCACGCTCCAGTGAGGGAATTAGGGATGGCACGTTGTCCTTGTAAAGGGGATCCAGCAGGGTGGCCACCCAGTAGTTAGCACAAGTTAGAATGTGGGCAACTTGGCAGTCATTGCGCAGGCACTTTGGTGACTCTAGATAACCTTGGGCCATTCGCACGTCCCCGTGACGGCTACAACGCTTTCGGATGTCTGCCTTTTTAACTTTCGATGTTACTTTCTGCGCCTACCATGGTGACCACGGGTAACGGGGAATCAGGGTTCGGTTCCGCAGAGGGAGCCTGAGAAATGGCTACCGCATCCAAGAAAGGCAGCAGGTGCGCAAATTATCCATTCGCGACACGGGGAGGGAGTGGCGATAAATAACAATACAGGACTCTTTAGAGGCCCTGTAATTGGAATGAGTACACTTTAAATCCTTTAATGAGGATCTATTGGAGGGCAAGTCTGGTGCGTGTGTGCTGCAGCTGAAACTGCTCGCACAGTCTCTCCAGCACGTGCAACGTGGATTTCCACCTTGTGGGCACGTTGCATATGAGGCGGTGAGCGGGAAGGCTGAAGTTACGCTGCAGCGCAGACAGGCGAGCAGCAGCAGGATGAAAACGCCAAAAGCGCGCACAGCTGCTACAGTGAAACTGCGAATGGCTCATTAAATCAGTTATGGTTCCTTTGATCGCTCCATCTGTTACTTGGATAACTGTGGTAATTCTAGAGCTAATACATGCCGACGAGCGCTAGGGGACGGCCGCTCCGCTTTTGCACCATGCTCCCTGCTCCCTCTTATGCTGTGCTGGTGCCTCTGTGCGATGACTGCCTCTTCCTCCAAACTGCACACGTCACTCGCATGACCTTCATTTCCATGTGGGGTCTAGGACCTCATCATCCTCCACATCATCTTCCACCCACTCCTCAACCCTGCCCTCCTTGCTGGTCTGCACACTGCAGAAAGCCACAGCAGTTGGCACCTGTGTTTTTCCGGCATGTAAAGTCTGCAAAGAACATATGGAAATTGTTTTAGAATTGTATCCAGGCAACATTTTTCCCTATAAACTGACGTCTCAGTTTGACTTGTAAGGGTATTGCCCCAGAATTACAATATTGTTTAAGTACCTCTAAGCTATTGATAACTGGTTTAAATATAGAAGCTTGTTATCTGGTAGTTTCTAGTGTAGAAAATATCAATCTGTTGTCTATCACTTAGATCTGTTTAACAAGTGTTGTAGGTGTGAAACAATATTACAAGTGACCGATGTAGTAAATTCGAATCAAAGTTCCATTTGCAAAATAAAATTCTCGCCCATCTTCTGAGGGTTATTGCATTTTTAAGATGTAGACTTATTGTATCACACTAGCCATGCACATGTAGATTGTCTGGCACGTTGTTTTGGTGTTTGGTTTTTAACTTTGTAGTTGTGTCTTTACACAATATAGAAATGTATATTAATGCTTCTGTATATGAAGCGATCACAATAACACTTATTTTTCACTTTTTAAAAAAGTCTTTAGACTTTCTTGAGAAGCGGTAACTAGCCAATGTTGCACACATACACTAGATATGAAGTGCACACCCCAAATGTACTATTTAGCACCTACAAAATTAGTATTTTTAAAACTGCTATGTCACAGCAGTATTTGACGGTTCTATTTGACTCTCAGATATGAAGTGGATGCCACAAATGTACTTTTTAGCACCAAAAAAATGTGAATTAGTCAAACTACAATGTAACCACAGTATTTGACGGTTCTATTTTACTCTCAGACATGAAGTGCATGCCACAAATTTACTTTTTAGCACCAAAAAAATTTGTGAATTAGTCAAACTGCAATGTAAACACAGTATTTGACGGTTTTATTTGACTCTCAGATATGAAGTGCACGCCCCAAATTTACTTTTTAGTACCAAAGAAATGTAAATTTTTTCAAAGTGCGATGTAACCACAGTATTTGACGGTTCTATTTGACTCTCAGATATGAAGTGCACACCCCAAATGTACTATTTAGCACCAAAAAAGTTAGAATTTTTAAAACTGCTATGTCACAGCAGTATATGACAGTTCTATTTGATTATAAGATTTGAAGTGCATGCCCCAAATTTACTTTTTAGCAACAAAGAAATGTGAATTTTTCAAAGTGTGATGTAACCACAGTATTTGACGGTTCTATCTGGCTCTCAGATATGAAGTGCAGGCCCCAAATGTACTATTTAGCACCTAAAAAAATTAAATTTTTAAAACTGCGCTGTAACCACAGTATTTGACGGTTCTATTTGACTCTCAGATATGAAGTGCAGGCCCCAAATGTACTATTTAGCACCCAAAAAATGAGAATTTTTAAAACTATGTCACAGCAGTATTTGACAGTTATATTTGACTCTCAGATATGAAGTGCACACCCCAAATGTACTATTTAGCACCCAAAAAATTTGAATGTTTAAAACTGTGCTGTAACCATAGTATTTGACGGTTCTATTTGACTCTCAGATATGAAGTGCACACCCCAAATGTACTATTTAGCACCAAAAAAATTAGAATTTTTAAAACTGCTATGTCACAGCAGTATGTGACAGTTCTATTTGATTATAAGATTTGAAGTGCATTCCCAAAATTTACTTTTTAGCAACAAAGAAATGTGAATTTTTCAAAGTGTGATGTAACCACAGTATTTGACGGTTCTATCTGACTCTCAGATATGAAGTGCAGGCCCCAAATGTACTATTTAGCACCCAAAAAATGAGAATTTTTAAAACTATGTCACAGCAGTATTTGACAGTTATATTTGACTCTCAGATATGAAGTGCACACCCCAAATGTACTATTTAGCACCCAAAAAATTTGAATGTTTAAAACTGTGCTGTAACCACAGTATTTGACAGTTCTATTTGACTCTCAGATATAAAGTGCACCACAGGCCGCAAATGTACTATTTAGCACCAAAAAGTTAGATTTTTTAAACCAACAATGTAACCGTAGTATTTAAGGGTTTTATTGGACTGCAAGAAATGCAGTACGCAAACGTACTATTTAGCACCAAAAAAATTGCAGTATTTAAAAATGCCTAGATGTTGCCCACTGAGCTAACAGAACAGGATTAAAGTAATGTGCCTGGCACGCATGCAGTTGCAAGTGCACTGCACTGGGCTCAGGGCAGGGTACAAAAATGTAGTATAGCACCCACAAAAATAATCGCTTTAGTTTGCAGATTCAACACCAGAATTCTTTCCTAATCTTTCCCTCACAGCTGCAGCATTCTCTCCCTACACTAATAAGAGCTCATGTGACGTGACTCCAGCTTATATATAGAGGCTGGGTCACATGCTTCATTGGCCAATCACAGCCATGCCATTAGTAGGCATGGCTATGATGGCTTCTAAGGGCACACAAGTCAAACGCTTGTTTATTAGCTGCCCTGCAGCCTTTCAAAATGCGCCATTAAATCGCCGAACACCGAACTCCAACCCGAACATACACTGATATGTCCGTGTTCGGGTCCATGGTCCAAAAAACTTAATGTTCGGTACAAACCCGAACTTTACAGTTCGCTCAACTCTACATATAACTGGTGTTAAGGCAGATTTTGTTGGAAACCCATACAATGTTTTGACTCCCACATCAGTCTTCATCAAGATAACTCAAACATAGAATGAACTCATGCAAAAAAAAAAAGGCTGTGTACAAAAACAGGAACGGATGTAAAGCAATAGTCATTATAACATCACACAAAGTGAAATACATAAATTACATAATATCATATCAAATGTGCATCGTCAAATGACTGATAATAGTCAATATATCCGTGAACAAAATCGACGTTTCGACCCCTAAGGGTCTTTTTCAAGATCTTGAAAAAGACCCTTAGGAGTCGAAACGTCGATTTTGTTCACGGATGTATTGAAGATTTTTTTCACTTGAATAAATCAGTTTCCACTTTACTGAAGACCTGTGAGTGCACCCCTGACTTTGTTTTTATATAGGTATATATGTATATGTGTGTGTGTGTGTGTGTGTGTATATATATATATATACACACACACACACACACATAATAAATATACATATATTTCCAGGTCCCAGCACTCGATGTTCCCAGTATTTTTGTGCTCCGGTGCACAATCTCCAACCAAAATATATATACCTAGTAGAGAGCACTCTGGAGTCTTGGTGAAGTAAATTCAAACTGCTGCTTTATTAAGCAAACACAGTGATAAACACAATAGTCAATTAGATAAACTGCTATGTTTGTAAAAAAAAAATGGGTTAATCCTAGCTGGACCTGCACCCAGACCACTTCATTGAGTTGTCCCCACAGGTGCGAGCAGCAGACAGGAGAAGGTCAAGGGCAGAGCGGAAACCGAAAAGGGGCATACCTATGGATCAGTGAAGTCATATAAGAGGGGCTAGAATTGTTCAGTGCTCCATAGGTATGGGTTAGCACTTTGAATTGACTCTTATAGGATACAGGAAGCCAATGTAAGGACTGACAGAGAGGTGAGATGTGAGAGGACCGACTAGAGAGGAGAATCAGTCTGGCGGCAGCATTCATTACAGGGCAATACGGCTTTTGGCAAGACCAATTAGAAGAGGGTTACAATAACCCATGCGAGAAATTGCTAGAACATGGATAAGCTACTTGGTATCATCTTGCGTTAGAAAGGGGCGGATGCGGGCTATGTTTATGTTTTTATGTTTAAATAAATGTAAATGTTATTTATATATATATATATATATATATATATATATATATAAATACACACACACACACACACACACACACACACACACGTTCTACATATATATTTAACTATTAACTACATACTTATTTGATTTTATTAATTATAATTTGAGGGACCTGCCTGACAACCCAGGCAGACAATCCAGACAATTTAACTGGCAAGCCCTATATTTAACCCCGTAACTTTCCAAAATACCATAAAACCTTTACATGGGGGTTATTGTTATACTTGGGAGACTTTGCTGAACACAAATATGAGTGTTTTAAAAAGGAAAACTTATCACGGTGATGATATCACCAGTAAAAGTGCAGTTTTTGTGTAAATAAAATGCAAAAAACAAATATATAAATGCTAACTTTGGCAAGCATTTGTGGCTAAGTGGCTACTACAAAAGACTGGACATACCACATTTTGAATACTCTTGGTTGTCTAGGTTTTCAAATGGTATGTCATGGTGGGATTAATTTTCATTTCTGGGCTGCCATACCGTCTCAAAGGCAACATCTCTAATCTGGGAAATAGCAATTTACAAAAACAGAAATTGGCAAATCTTATGTTTGACCCTGTAACTTTCCAAATCACCATACCTGTACTTGAGGGGTACTGTTGTACTCGTGAGACATTACTCTACACATATATGATTGTTTTAGAGCAGTAAAATTTATTATATTGATAATATCATCAGGAAATGGCAGTTTATGTGTGAAAAATTTAAAAAAAAATACATAAACGCTATTTTTGGCCAGGGTTTATGACTAAGTGGCTGCTAAAAAAGAGTGAATATATCCCATCTTGAATACAGTGGGTTGTCTACTTTTACAAAATGGTTTGCCATGATGGGGTTTATTTTCGTTCTTGGGCTGCCATACGGTCTCAAAGGCAACATAGGCCCAACAAACGAATCTGGCAAATTTCAAAGTGCAAACATGGAAAAGGGGTAAGCCCTGCATTTGACCCCTGTAAGTTTGCAAAAACCCATAAAACCTGTACATTGGGGGCACTGTTGTACTCAGGAGATGCTGCTGAACACATATCGGGGTGTTCTTTGTCAGTAACACATAATAGGAACTGAGAATCCACGCCTAAACTACAATGTGAGACAAAAATAACACAAAAAATTACTACCCAAAAGTGTGTCAGAGACTGGTGGTAGAATTAGTGCATGGAAAGTGTTAAAATATCACCATTTGAAATATCCTAGGGTGTCTACTTTTCAAAAATATATGGTTTAATGGAGGTAAATTACACTGGCTGGCTTAAATAATGCTCCAAATAGGACATGGGTGTATGATGACTAGCTGTGAAAATTCCAAGTTTGAAAACTGGAATGTGCACCCTCCAAATAACATGGGGCAAATGGGGCAGATGCCCTGCGCCCAGTTAATCCTGGGGGGCCCAAGGCAGCTGCCCTCAACAATTTATTTGGGCCACTCTAAGGAGGCCCTCCAGGTGGCCCATGCACGTAGAGCCACCCGGTGGGCTTCTCTCAGCAGGGCCCTGGTCGGGTGCTGTGCCCCTTTAACAGCACGACCCGGCCCTTGCTTTTCTGCATCATTGGAGGAAGTGACTGCTGCAAGTCACTTCCTCACATAAAGAGAGCAGCTGCATGTAAGTGAGAAGGAGGAGCAAAGCGGGAGTGAGGAGAAGGCAGTGAGGATGGGGGCTCCTCACTCCCATCAGTCTAAGGCGTCTCACTGGACCCCAGCGAAGTCACCCTCCAGCAAAAGGTAGGAAACTGGAGGGTGGGTTTAACCCCTTAAGGGCCAAACTTCTGGAATAAAAGGGAATCATGACATGTCACACATGTCATGTGTGCTTAAGGGGTTAAAATGTTTTTACATGTGTCAGTATGTCTGTGTGTGTGTGTGTGTCTGTGTCTGTGTTTCAGTATGTCTCTGTGTGTGTAAGTATGTGTGTCTGTCTCAGTATGTCTATGTGTGTGAAAGTATGTCTTTGTATGTGTGTTTCAGTATGTCTCTGTGTGTGCCAGTATGGCTGTGTGTGTATCAGTGTATGTATGTATGTGTGTGTGTGTGTGTGTGTGTCAGTATGTCTGTCAGTGTATGTGCCTGTGTGTGTCAGTATGCCTGTCTGTGGGTATCAGTATGCCTATCTGTGTGTGTCAGTATGTCTGTCAGTGTTTGTATCTATTTCTGTCAGTGTACGTGCCTGTGTGTGTCAGTATGTCTGTCAGTGTATGTATCTGTGTGTGTCAGTATATCTGTCAGTGTATGTGTGTGTCAGAATGTCTGTCAGTGTATGTGTCTGTGTGTGTGTCAGTATGTCTGTATATGTGCCTGTGTGTGTGTCAGTATGTCAATCAGTGTATGTGTCTGTGTGCACGTCAGTATATCTGTCAGTGTATGTGTGTGTGTCAGTATGCCTGTCAATATATGTATTTGTGTGTGTCAGTATGTCAGTCAGTTTATATGTCTGTGTATCTGTATATGTCTGTGTATCTGTAAGTAGTCAGTGTGTGTATCTGTGTATTTGTATGTGTGTCGGTTTGTCTGAGCACAAAATTATATATAAACACACATTCAAAAAACAACACTACACATAAATGCACGCTTTAATCCAAACTCCAACATCACATACAAACACATTCAGACAAACATACGTCATACAAAAACATGCTTACATTCAAACAGTGCAAAATACAACCCTGCAAGCATGGGAAATTGGTAGAACCACACCTGTCAATGCATTGTTGGAGTTGCACGACAGATAGGGTTCTACCTTTTTTCCAACCTTGCAATATGGAGGCAAAATAAGGTTCTTGCACCAGGGATCTACTTTAGTTCCGCCACTGCGTTGGGGTGGAGGGCGTGATTGTATGTAAGGCAATGGGGGGGGGCACGGTCTCTGGGGGTCCGAGCAAAAGCTTGCCCAGGGTCCAATCGTTATTAAAGACGGCATTGAACACACCTATATATGGGTGGTGTCACTGTTTGGAGATGTTGCTGAACACATATTGGGGTGTTCTTTGGCAGTAACCTTTAAAGTTCTCAGTACATGTATTCTTAAATTGCTAAGTGTGTCAAAAAAAATCACAATTATTATTTTTTTTTTTTATTTGGCATAGATTGGTGGTAAAATGGTTGCATGAAAAGAGTCAAAATACCCCAAGTTTAATATCTTAGTTTGTCTTCTTTAAAAAAATATGTGAAGGGTTATCCAGACAGACAGATATCAGTGTTACAATTTGAAAAAAAATGGTTTGGAAATAGCAAAATGCTACTTGTACCTATTGCCCTATAACTTTCCAAAAAAATAAGAACATGTTAACATTGGGTATTGCTAAACTCAGGACAAAATTTAGAAACTATTTAGCATGGGTGTTTTTTGGCGGTTGTAGATTTTGGAGGTCAAAGTTAGAAAATGTTTATTTTTCTAAATTTTTCATCATATTTAATCATTTTATTATAGTAAATTATATATGATGAAAATAATGGTATCTTTAGAAAGATCATTTAATGGTGAGAAAACCGTATATAATATGTGTGGGTACAGTAAATGAGTAAGAGGAAAATTACAGTTAAACACAAACATTGCAGAAATGTAAAAACAGCCCTGGTCCTTAATGGTAAGAAAATTAAAGGTTGTTCCAGTAACTAAAGGGTTAAATAAGGGCAGAAGGGAGAGAGTAAAAAATACAGGATAGACACACATGGAACAGAAGTAGTGGAGAAACAAACAGCAGACAGGTTAGAGGAGAAGGTCTGGGAGGACAAACATCAATACTCTTCTCTTTGTCCATTGTAGGACAATGAGGAAGAATGCTTGGGAGGACAAACAGTTCATTGAGCATAATCCATGCTTCAAGCCTAAAGAGGAACCAGAAAACAGGGAGAAATGGTAGGCTGAAAGGGCCCTCAAAAGGTAAGATGAATATCTCCCATGCCATACAAAATAAGTTTAGCTGATTTCCCTTTAAAAAGACAACCCCTTAATTTACTATGTGCTCATTAGGAGGTCTTCCTCTCTGTGTGTGCTCTGCAAAAATCACTGCAAGAATGTGGTTTGCAATTTTGAAGGAGGTGACACAGGAGGTCATTGCTATTGTTGAATGAGGTTCTCTCAGTTAGTAAATACAAGGATATTCATACCTTTTCCAAACTGCAGTGTAAGTCTTAAAATGACGAGTTCATCTTTTGCAATACTTAGTTGATCAATTTAAGAATATCATATGTGTTCATAATTTTGAGTGGATTTGTTTTAATTTTTTTAAATCAGAAGTTCATACAGCAATCTAGTAAAACCAAAAGGCTCAGAAAGTACGGTAATTTTTGTAACTATATTTTAATATATTGACTAGCTTCTCTGT